AACAATTTTGTCCATTGCACAATCTGTGTACAAATACAGGGATGTGTGAATACAGATGAAAGGAATTAAGAAATGACCTCTGGTATTGTCATGAGAGAAGCTTTTCCCTGAATCACTTCCTTCCCAAACCTCTGAGGCTATAGACACATGCCCTTTTACAGCTGTCAGCCTGAAGAGGTTACTTCCTGTCATGGCTTTTCGCCACCTTCTTGGTGAAGGTTACTATCCCCTTATATTTGCCAGAGGAACTGTTTGCACAATCGTTTCCTAACTCATTTGCTTGAAATATGCATGCTAAATACTAAACCTGGAAATTGGTTAGACTTCGATTTTGTTAACATAATGATTTTTCACTATTGGCTGTATATTGCCTCACGGCAAGGCAGGCGCATTCAAATACATCTAACCTGGCATTCATACCAGCTGATAACATACTAGCTAATGTTTGGGTGGGTTTCCGAGTCATGAAAACATTTTAATATGCTCTCAGAATGAAGTGGTAAGAGTTAGCCGTAGCTTGTATCTTTCTTGAGTCCTTGTAAGAGGGTACATGGTCTGAAATAGTACACAGAGCTGAACTGTGCCTTTGTAAAGGATTTTTCTAAGGTAAGTTATGCTGAATGTTATAATATTTGTAATCGACAAATAGGAAGATGGAAGAACAGGAGGCAACCATAAAGCAACAGGAGAATGTGCAGTGTCATAGCTTCTGTTTCCTTTGGGTCTTTGGCCAGGCCTCTGATGCAGTGAGTTGGAAATTTTAGTAAGTTTTTGTTTCTTATTTTTCTCATTTTTGTCTCTAGAAATTTCTAACATTCCTTTACTCCCACCCCTCCATCTTGTTATGAAGCAGTGCATACTCAGCTGCGTACCACGTGGCTCTGAGTTGTGCTGCAGCAGTAATGCAAGCTGAGGGTATGGTGTGTGTGCACCCAAATCTGTGGAGGCCCTTTCAGAGGCTGCTTATTTGCAGCGTGGATCTGGGATGCTTCCATCCTGTAGTCCCCCAACTGCATCCAGACAAAGCAAACCACCAAAGCAAATGTGCAACTGAGACGCACCATGTGTTACAGATGGGCAAGCAGTCATTTCTGTGAAACACATGTATGCGTAGTTGCCACAGTGACACAAGGAGGGAACACCGCATACTTCTTTTGGACTCCAACAGCTTGCATGCTGTGAACTAAGCGTTCTTTACCAATTTTTGATTATCTGTTCTTTTATCTCATTAGGGCATCTGCATATCTTTGCTGCTGATTTCCAGGGGCTAGATCATCTGGGTTAATGCGTGGGCTCAATGGAAACTGATTTACAGGAGCTGAGACTGTGGCCTCGCTGTTTCCAGTTTTCACTATGCAACCTGAGTTAATAAAAGGACCATTTGTGAGTTTTTAAACGTGAAGGTTTCCTTCACTGTAAAATGACACAGATTCCAAAACTTGCTTTTAACTCCTAGATTTTAAGTGGATGGGCAAGCTTCCCTCCTTTCCCACTCAGGAGAACAAAACAAATTACATCTGTTCTCTGCTGGTCCTTTTACCAGGACATGCCTGACTTTTTTTTCAGCTTTGCCACTGAACTAGTTTGGCTAAATCAACATACTTCTGAAAACATCTTCTTAAATTTTTTAGTTCTGTTTTGTGACTTTGAAAAATGTAGAAAGCTTATCTCTTCTGGTTGGTTGTGTGCTTTCCTGGCTTACCATATGACCATTTTTCATCTGAATTATCCTAACTGTCCCTGTGCTTGCTTTTACTCCACTAGGGATGTGAAGTAATATGATCTAGTATAGTTCTGTTTCATTTTGAGACTTGCTCAAAGAGCTATAACCTAATATTTGCATCTGATGACGAGTAGGCCCATGTACAGTTGCTACAGCTCAGCTGACACGTGGTACCTTGTTAACAGTCATGTTAATTTTTGTTTGTTATGTGACAGCTGCTAGAGTGATCTCCTCATCTGTAGTGATGATCATACTCATGCCGTAGATAAAGTTTCAAATTATAAATTTGAAAAAGCAAAAGCACTTATTTGAATGCTTGCGCTTTTCACTGTTTCATTAATGCTGCTCTGGAAAAACTTTCGACCAGCTTCCATTTCAACTCATTTGGTCTGGCTCTATGTGCTAAGATTTGCCTGAGGTTTTTGTATGCTGAACAGGATCAGAGGGATGAATTTGTCTCCGTTAATCATTCAACAGGAAATACTTTAGACTAAAAAGTCATCAGGTTATATGTAGAACGCTCAGGGCTGCTGTTGAGTGGTAAACGTGTGACAAGATATTTGGCTATTTCAGACAGTTTTAAAGCCATGAACGGATAACACAAATAGAAGGTACATGAATGCGTTTTTAAGTAAACGGTGACGTAAAACCCGTTACTTTCTGGTGTCTGCTAGGGTCTGCCATCAATTTTACTTGGAAATTCACTTGGAAAGGGGGAAATGAATTCAAAAGTCAATTAGCTTTTCCACATCAGTTTTGTATTTTGGGCTTTTACAGCTTTGTTCTGTTTTGCTTTACATAACCCAATTAATGGAGCGTTTATCGGTTCCAGCGGAAACCAGGTTGCTGGCTATGGGACTGAAAATTCCTGTTTAATGCAAAAACAGTAGGAGACTAACACAAATCTTGAGTCATTTATAATTAGCTGATTTAGATGTAGTTTGCTATGCTATATATGAGCAAAGAATGTTTAGACATTACTGATTTTCTTTCCCTTAAGATTCATAGATTTTCGCTAAAATGCTGTTTGTAAGTTGGCTGATAGTCCCAGTAGTGGGACTATTATTCAGTTGTCTTTCTAGCCTGCAGAAACAGTTTCTGCACCTCTGTCTTTCGTAGTTGCAGCAACTCAAACGCAACTAGTCAAACTGTGGATCCCTGCCTTGGAGGGGAAGAACGCTATGCTCAGAACTAGGATCAGTGACTGAATTCACTGTTTGTTTAGCAATTCAAGGAGTAGGAGTTTGGAACAAATAATCCTTTCTGGAAACATCCTCTATCAAAACAAACCTGATTTTGTTTAGATTCAGTTTGGACAAACAAATGCCTAAATATAACACAAGGATAACTGCAAGTTTATTTCTGTTGTGATCAGAGGTAAGAGGTATCAGAATCTAATTAGGGGACTTTTTCTCTAAACCTCTCAGGCCGAAATGTCTACCCCAGAAGTATAGCTGTCTGTAAATACCCATTCCTACTGTGCACGAGAAGATTGCTTCGTCTCACTGGCCAATGCAATTACTGAATGCCAGTGGTGGCGGTGTCCGTTCTAGGTCTGTTTTAACTCGTAATTGCTGATGGTTATCAGCAAACAGTAGAACACGTGAGAGATCTCGAGACTTGTATATATTATATATGGACTCTACTGTCCTGGGGTCCCCATAGGAAATTATTCTAGTGGCTGGCCCCACTTCAAGACAAGTCATAAAACCTAACTAGAGAGACAGGCAGCCTTAAATACCACAAGCCGATTTCTGGATCAATCCATGGAGTTCAGGGCAAGCTACGCAGGCCATAAAACCAAGTTAGAGTCTTGCAAGTCAGAAGTATTTTAAAAACTCTTCTGGCTAACAGGGTTTCAACCTGATCATTGCTGGGCTCCTTAACTCGACAGTCAGGGAAAAACGTGCTTAAACTCCCCCAAAGCCTATAGATGAACAACTTTTTCTTGTTTTCAGGTATCCTATAAATGCTAAGAATTTTATAAAATGATGTCTCTGCCTCCTTTTTAACGTTTGCAAACCTTATTACATTTAATGCTGGTGCTTTTTAAGGGTATGCTAGCTAGGAAACAGTGATTTGAGCCTTAAGTGTTTATCCTAGAAAGCCCAGAAAGCAGTGCTTGAAGTGTTTGCATAACAGCTATTGATTTTGATTGTGCAGTTTTGGAGCAAAACTCAAAGCTCCTTAAGGCGCATATTCTCATGCGCCAGGAATTCCAGTTAAAGTCCCAAGCCAATATCCCCATGCAGACTAAATTGGTGTACCTCTGGTATTCCGAACAGAATGATATTGATTGTCACCAGGCCAAAATCAGGCCATGTGTTTCAGTTAAGATCTGAAAATCTAAGTCAGTTCATCAGATTTTTGGTTTGGAAGACTGATGGATTGAGTTTCGTGTTGTTATTTTCAGGAAACTTACTTGCAACAGGGAATGGCAATGTTCTGTAGCAACACTGGTTATATTCCACCATTGCCTGCTGTGAATTCATTCAAATTGATTCAGAAATTATACAGGAAGACGGAATTTGATTGTGATGGTTCTGGAATAAAGTGCTATTTGGGGGAATTCTGTTTACTGTCGATTAACCAGACTCCTCCCCTTTATTTTTAGATACACTTAGAAGTTATCCCTAAAAGTGTATTTTATATATTTCTTACAAAATTTAAAAGACTTAGCTTACCAAATAAACTTCTTCTGAGTAGGTACCTAACATTTTTGAAATCTATCTTAAGTAATAATTCTTCCTAGTCACTAGTTTCCCTCTCTTGCATATCTGGCTTGTGGCTAAGTTAGTATTAGGAAAACCATGGATAAGGCTTGAGCTCTAAGCTGTTGTAATGCCTCAGAGTACAGAAGCTAAACTCCTGAATGGAAAGTCTGCTTGCAAAGACTTGTGACTTTCACAGTGGAGAATTTCACTGTCTAAATGTCAGTTACAACTAAATTATAGCTTGCAGTCTCCTTTGCATATACTACATAGTGAAACTGAAGACATTCCAAAGAGCTGCTGATGTAATGCCTTCACTGCCTTCTCGTAAATGACTCCTTCCCTTGCACGGACGCACAGAGAAAGTCCTTTTTAATAGAGCATAACTCTAGCAATCTGAGAACTTTCGACATCTCTGTCCTAGTACAGCCATAGTAGGTGCTCAGCAGTAGCTTACAGAGTCAAAAGAAAGTTTATAAACAGGACAGTAATTGTATTGCCTATGAGCAAGCAGACAAACTGTTAATCATGAAATCACTGAAAGTTTTAATCAAAGCTTTTCTTACCTTCTTCAGCAAGTGCTATGAAAGGCATGCTCCCTAGCACGAAGATGATGATCTGAATTTTAATAAACATCTTTGCTATGGTTAGAGATTAGCTTTCCGATCCCGAGACCAGATGGAGTCAATTTTTTTTAGAGGCGGGAGAGAGTTGAGTTCACAAAAAAAGTCACTGCAGAAAATACTTTGGTATTTGAAATATTCCTTTAACGCAAGGAAGGTTTTTCCAGATGATAACTATACAGCTAAAGAAAAGTAACTGAGTGGAGTCAGCATTTTTCCTTTAGCTAAGGGGTGGGAGCATGTCTAAGGTGGTCTCAAAAAGAAGAGTCGGGCCCGCCCTCCACACTCTGTTTGGTCAGTACTAAAATTATGATCTCAGCCCAGGTTTAAAGTTACAGGAACTGTTGTGGATTTCAGAAGACTCTTTAGCAAAGGGGGAAAGGGCGTTTAGGCAGAGCAAGATGTTCAGGGAGTTCCCTCCCTTCTGCAAAATATCCTTAAAAATATTTAAGGAGTAACACTAAGGACATCTTTTTTCCTGTTATTTCCAGCAGTGAATTGAAGTTTTTCATTTCCAAGTGAGCCCCATGTTTATCTGAATAAATGTGGTAATAAATGTGCATTTAGGGATACTGAAATAGTTTTAGAACAGAGCATTTAATTCTCTGGTAAATACTGTCTGAATTTTTCTCTGCATATGTCTCTCAGCTTGTGTGTCCTCAAGTGACACCCTGCCCATACTCTAGCATCTATCACTGCCCACAGGCTTGTAAGCACTGATGTGCTAATTTTACCTTATAGAGGATTTTTCCTTGCTATGTATAACTCTTTGTTAGTACAGTTGTAGAATTGTCCATACAGTAGTTTTTCTTGTATACATTTCTGTAGATCATCATCAAGTAGCATGCATGCGAGGCTGGATCAACACTTTCTACCAATGTCTGAAGCGGAGATCTCCAAGTTTATGCTCTCAAATAAGTACTGGTCATAACACAGTGGTTGGGGGTAAAGCGAGGCTCTAGGAGCAATGACTCTTAACCCTTTTCTGAATCTGCCTTTTTCTTGGGCAAGTAATTTACTTACTGTTTAAGGATATTGTGAGGTTAATGAGCCCTAACGTGAACTAACTATACCAGTGCTATGGTGTTAAGCAAGGCCTTAAACTGCACCATAGCACAGCTGAGAGCCCAGAGTAAAATCTGTAGGAACAGTTGCCTCTCTTTAAAATGCTTCCGTCTTCTCAAGACGAGCTGGAGCACAAAATAACGGGCTGGCATCCCTTGGCTTGGTGAAAGTTGGCAGCTGCTGACAAAGGAAGACCATTGCTTGTCAACTCCAGCCTCATGGAGTGGAAGAAATCTGGCCTCTGTTTTCTGCTCCCGTGGTTTCTGTACCTTGAGAGTCCTGCAGCGCTAAGACAACAGACTCTGAAGCAGAGCAGCTGAAGTATGTATCTGTTTCTTTTCTGCTCACGGTTTTGGAGGAGGCAACTTCTGCAGAAGGGTGTGGCAGACTTGTAGGAGAGATGGTCTTTATTTAAAAAAAAAAAAACAACAAAAAAACCAAACAGACAGCAAACTCTGTAGCTAGGTTGTTTTGCTCAGGGAATGTGAGTCAGGCCCCACAACACTTTGGGATACAAAAGAGCAAAGCAAGTCTAAATGTAAGCGGTGATACAGTCATATAAAGAGGACTGCAGATGGGAAGTGCAACACCTTCCTAGGACTTTTGTTTACTTTTAAAACTAGTATGTGCCAAAGGAATGTGTTAGCTATCAATTTAAATTATTGTGCCATACCTGTGTCCTTTGTATCTAGGATCACTAGCAGACTAGAATGAAAACATTAAAAATCAATGTTAATGTAAAAAAGTAACAGGCTTTATTGGCTTATCTGCAGATAAGCAATGAAAGAAACATTCCTGTTGCTGAATTTCAACGTGCCTTGAATCCTCGAAGAATCTGGGATTGATTGTTCCTAGATAATGCTGCTTCAAAAATGTATTTAAAATATTGTTTGCTTATTGGGAAATGCCGCTCCTGAAACTAAAGTTGACATATCCCCGTCGCGAATTTCAATGAGATGTGTTTTCAAAAACAAATCATTCTTAACTTTATCAGACAGGAATGTTTGGATTTCTGTAAGTATTTTCAGAATGAAAAGAACATGGTACACTGAAAGACAAACTGGAACAAACCTGCGACGGTTAAGGTTTAGTTCAACAAACTCTCATCAGGAATAAGGAGAGGAGCTTGGAATTTCAACCCCTTCTCCTCGAAGGTACTGTGAGGACCTGTTGTCTGTCTTTGTTCCCATACACAAATTTGTCTCATAGGCTTATGAATAACCTTTTTAAAGGAGGCTGAGCTATTAGCTGGATTAGATAATTTCTTCCTTTAAACTGCCCTGCATTCTAGTGTAGAACTAAAGCTCTTGGGCTTTCAGGAATTAGAGGCATCCAAGTACTAGTGGTGCTTCCAACCCTTGTTAACATTTTTATTGTTCTTACTGATAACGGCTACTACTTCCTGTTCCAGAGTGTTCCTCAGGAGAAAAACTCTTCAGAAAATCTTATCGAACTATGAAGAGTGTAATAAAATCGGCTTCTGTCACGGTACCCAAGTACAACCCAGGGGAAATTTGCCTTGGAATGAGCCTTAGCCATTGTTGTCTTGGGATGAAATTATTCCTAAGGACTCTGACCTTTCTTTGATTCTAGTGAGTAACTTAGGAATGAAAGATACGAGGACAACATAAATAAGGTGATTAAAACTGTAAGGCACTGCTTAACCCTCGGATTTAAAAAAAACAAAAAAAAAAACCAAAAAAAACCCACCTCTTTTGAAAAGGCTAATCTAACCTTGGGAGGTGATATGGAACCAGACAGGTGAGGAAGCAGTTTTCTTCACAACTGCACTGAAGTGAGGACTTTAATAAAACTATAGTTCCTTATATAATATTCTGTTAAGCCAATAGGTTTTGTGGAAATGAAGTATTATAAGGTTCTAATTCAACAGTCTTTGCTTAAAGAAGCACTTAATCACATGCTTTATTTCAAAAGGGAAGGTAACCACATACCTATATTCAAGTGTGTGCCTTTGCTGATTGGTAATGGGTTTAAGCATGCGCTCAGATACTTTAGTGAACTGAAGTTTAGATCTACACAGAGGTGTTGTAACTTGGTCTTTCGCTTCTGCTAGCGTTATGACAATTCGCATGAAGTCTTTCAGGCAGCTCTTTCCGATCAGAGAGCGGCAGGACATGAGTGTGTGGTCACCCCTTTTTTTAGGATGTCAGGGGGAAGGCTGCTCTGTGTTTTTAATCACAGTGGTTTAAGAGAGGAGGTAGAAAGGCCCTGGAGTGCAAGCAGCCCTGCAAGTAGTTGTTTACAGAGCCTCCTGAGAGGCCCAGGCTGTGTCTCTAGCTCTGTAAGAGCAAAGCGTGAAACATAGCTTAAATATGGAGAAAGAATAGAGAATATATCCTGCAAAGTGTTATGTTTCAGCAACAACTCAACACTCAGTAACTCCAGGCCTAAAGTTTTGGAGTCAGTATGAGCAGAAATGATGTGGGTTTTGTGTGTAATTTTTATAAGTCCTTTGAGGACACCTGTCCTTGAGGACTGATGCTCAGGAGTGCTGAGCATGCAGAGATCTTCTAAAATTCATCTGAGCCTGTGCGTGCTTTTGGCTCTTTTGCAAACCAATGCCCTCGTATCTCAAACTGGACAGAAACTAGTCTTGAAAATTTTGGGTTACATCTCAATAGAAGATCCTGCCGAAAAAGTCAATAATGAAAAATATAAGCTATGAATAGAATTCGTATTTATTTGCACTTCCAGGAGAGTGTGTTATACAAACACTACTCTGCATGCGACTTATGCAAAGGCTTTTAAAAAGGGTAAGTCTGTAACATAAATGATTCAAGAACTGAGATGGGCAATCCTATATAGCCTGATTTGCTGAGAGATTTCTTCACAGTAAAGCGAAGTTACCTTGTTGAAAGCAGGTAATGAAAAATTGTAGCTATCATTCTGGGTCTCCTTTTTCAAGTACTAGGACGTTGCCTCAAACTGTATTAGGGGTTTTCATATTTCAGTACCTGCCAAAAGGGGTGGTTTTGGCCACAGAGAGAAAACAGGATATGCCTTGAAAATTAATAAAGCTTGAAGAAAACAGCTTTTATGTTTCTGACCCAATATTGCAGGGCTCACAGCTGCCCTGGGCTACAGAAACAGGAAATTTGGCAACAGAAAGAGATCTTTCTAGTTATAGAGCAGCTTTGCAAAGGATGTCGAACTGGAGGCATCATTTATACTTTCTGAGTGTAAAAGTACATTTAGAAGTGTGCTGAAAAGCTCATTTTCAGTGAAAGCACTGGGAGGGGAAATATAGGTTTACTTTCTGTCTGCTGGAGACACTGTAAGCTATGAGGTAGGTTTTCACTTATACTGGAGCCATTTCTATAGGAAAAGAAATTCTAGCAGCAGATGGAGCTGCACATTCATGAAAGTCTGTAATAAGTCAGAGGGCAGCCGGGACACTTAAATCTGTCACCATGCTGCAATCTCTGGCAACTTTGGAACTTCATGGGATATTAGGGGGATAATTTGGATCCTCCTCTTTCAAGAGATGAGTCAACATTTTTGTGTGGCCTTACATTATGTATGTGAGTATATAGAAAAAATACATATGTACAGATACATTAAGTGTCTATGTAGTGGGCTTCAAATTGATAGTATATTTGATTATATTCCCATCTTAGTTATTTACATGGAAGTTGAAGGTTTTTTACAGAAATAGAGCCTTGCCCTTGGAAATGGCTTTTACCTTCCCTTATTCACAAATGGTTAGATTTAAAGTCCATCAAATCTTTGATTTCCATAGGCTTTAAATAGCTAGGATTTTGTGCCAGCTTTTCTCTTTGAGTCACTGTGCTGTTGGTTTCTAATTTCTGAAAAAGCATTTGGTGTATAGGATAGAGGAATACATAAAACCAGCCCTTGCCATGTTCTAAAACATTTGATTTACGTTTGTTCTGGTGGTTACAAAAGTGCCAGGGGTTGCAGGTGTAAACTAAACCTCATTGGAATCTGTTGGAAGTCTTTTCTTTGACTTGCACCTTCTGTATCTTCGCTAACATTATTCGTCAACTGTCTGTCTTTGTGTATTCAAATTGTTCCAGAGTGTTTTCTCACGTAAGGTAAGCAGTCAAAAAAAGCAGTTAGTGTAC